GGAAGAGGCAGGAATTTACGGCCTTTGTTGTCTTTGGGAGGCAGAGCCATCTTGGGGATGCCCTCCTGACTGTGGCCTGCACCTTTCGACGAGTGCACAGCAGAAAGTCTAGAGATGCTGGAAGCCAGGAGGGCTTTGTCCATACGGGCTTTTGTGCCTGGAATCATCCATCCCCGTCTTCTCCTCCCTGGCCTGCTCCTGTTTGCTCTGCAGGAATCAGCTCAGAGCTTATGTCTTCGAAACCCTCCCTTTCTAGTCCTTACTCCCGGTCTGCAAGAATTGCTTTACTGTCTTATCCAAATCAGGGAACATGCTGCGTGGAATTAGGATGATTAACTTATCTTTCTGACAGACTGAGTGCCTCCAGGGCAGAGAACAGAGAATATAGATGACATCTTTTGTCTTAACTCTCAGGGTCTGCCAACCTAAAATATGTTGCATACAGGAGTGAGCCAGTTAGCACAGTGAAACCCGAGGGACGCCGAAGACGTTGCCCCCTTGACGGTTTTACATAGGGCAGGCCCTCTATTGAAAGAATGCTGCGGGTGACTCTGTTTAACAGGGGGGCGCTTGGACCCAAGCGATTTTCGGGTGTGACCCTTACCTCCCGCCTCATTTGTGTTGACCACTCTCCTAGAAAGGGCGTACCTGTTCAGAGAGGAAAATAGATTTCAAAGACAAACATCTCTGGGGAAAATAAGGAGAGAGAACTTGAGGTCAGATATTCTGACAAGTGGATATGAAATATTTGAGTGCTGATGTGATACTTAATCTTGTAACACGTGAGGGATGGTGTCCCGGTAAGAAGAAACTTAGAAGATCTCTGTTTTTCTAGTTGGTTGAATCCAGGTGTGGGTGCACAGTGAAATGGTTTGTTTTTCCTACTCGGATCAAGAGGTCTCCCCACCTGGAGCTGTTCCCTTCCTAGCTTGCCCTGCCCAGTTAGAGACAGGTTTTGCCATGATCTGTATTTCGGTGAACTCTAAAGATAAGTACATTCAAAAGATTGCTACATTGTTGATAATTTGCATTTATTTATGTATAGAGATGAGGTCTCCCAGGCTGGAGGGCAGTGGCTATTTACAGGCACCATCAGGGTGACTGCAGCATTGAGCTCCTGGGCTCAAGCAATCCTTTCACCTCAGCCTTCCAAATAGCTAGGATTGCAGGCGTACCCTACCGTTTCCAGCTAGTTAAATAATTTTTTTTGGTAGAGATCGGGTCTCACTATGTTGTCCACACTGGTCTTAAACTCTCGGGCTCAAGCAATCCTCCTGCCTCGGTCTCCCAGAGTGCTGGGATTAGAGAATTTATATTTAAAATATTCCAGAACAACTTAAAGCAGCCATCAAGTAGGGATTATATAATTTGGTCCTAATGAGAATCCTTGATGGCTCATACAGCACCAGCCTAAGACAATAGTGCCATCAATTATTATACTTTGAAACCTCACAGTGTTAGTTATAGTAATCCTTATTTCATTTCTTACAACTCACATTTTTCTTTTCTTTTTTTTTTTTTTTTTTTTGAGTTGGAGTCTCAGGCTGGAGTGCAGTGGCATGCTCACAGCCAATGCAGCCTCAACCTGCTGGACTCAGGTGATCCTTCCATCTCAGCCTTCCAAGCAGCCGGATTTACAGGCACACGCCACCACACTCAGCTAGTTTTTGATTTATTGTAGAGATGAGGTCTTGCCAAGTTGCGCAGGCTGGTCTCGAACCCGTAGGCTCAGGCAATCCTCTCACTTCGGCCTCCCAGAATGCTGGGATTATAGGCCTGAGCCACTGCGCCCGGCCACCTCACATTTTTCAAGAAGGATTTCAAGTAGTTGATTGCTATTCTTAGTTAAGGGGAAAGGTAAAACTCAGTGTTTCTCATCTACTTTTTCTAAATCCTTTATTTTCTCCTTGTACTTGTTTTATTTCTGATCAAACTTTTCTTTTAATATTAGTCTCTGAACTTTTTGAAGGCAAAAGCAGAGCAACCGAGAGTCTGTAGAGAGAAAAAACTTCTCCCCTGTGTGTGAGACATCAGCAGATTTAGAATGTATTTCTGAATCCTAGTCACCTGGACATCTAAGTTCTTATCCTGAGAATGGAGCCCCTACAAAAAAATCGGATATCTAGAACAGCCCTTTAAAGTTAAACATCGAAGGACTTCATATCCCCTATTGAATTTTTATTTGCCGTTGTCTAGTCGAGTAGGAAAGGTTAGCACCCACCTGAGCTGCGCAAGGAGAGCAGGAAGGAGCTCTGCTGAGGGAAGTCTCATGAACCTTCACTTCTAGAGTTGTCTGCACTGGCAGAGGTGAATGAGTTAGCAGAACTTCTTGTGTACCCTTCTGTTCTTTTCTTCCTCCGATGGATTTGACCAAGTCGGCTTGGGGCAGCGGCAAGTCTCCTGGCTGAAGTTGGTTGCCCCAGTCCCTGGGTGCCCTCACCATTACAGAATGGCTTTTTGTCTTGTGACCTTCAAGCTGAGTTGCTTGTTGAAGGAGCCATCTGTAGTGGCTGCATGTTACCTCTGGGGAGTCTGGAAGGCACTTTCACTCACTGTCCTGGCCAATTAGGGCCACACATTTGTGCATGTGATCCTAGACACATTTGGAATAAATCCCACCGAAGGCATTTGGCCGCATGGTTTATCATCGGTGTTACCTGGGCAAGAGGAAGTTTAACAAAGTTTAAATTTTGCCTAAGGGGTGTTTAAGGCTCAGGACTCTACTTGAGAGGCAGTAGCAGTTAGGATCCTGGACTTGGAACCAGACTGCTTGCACCTGATTCCTCCCTTTACTGCTTATTCACTGTGTGTCCTTGGACAAATAGCTTCAATCCTTGGGTATCGGTCTCCTTGTCTGTAAAATAGTGCTTACCGCCATGTGCCATGGATATTTAAATGTTAGCTGAGGCTATTAGTATTAGTATTATTAAAGCCCGGAGGTGGAAATGATCAATTCGAAAGGTTCTGTTTTCCTTTTTTGAAAAATAAGGCACAGTACAAAGAAATGTCATTGACAAAGGATGCAAAAATGACCAACTCTTGTCCCCTGAAGCGAAAAAGTTATTGTTGTTTAGAAAGCACTGGAAACACTCTTAGCATGACTTTGCTAAGGTTATAAAGTGCCTGAAATGATGATTTAATGTTCAGAAAATGCTATTTTTCCCCTCATACTAAGGTTTTTATTGGGTGTGAGAGATGCATTGGAGTTAAATTATTAACCTGGAAAGTAGGGTTAGTAGATGGCAATCTTCTGATAAATCTTTGGATTTGGATTTTTCATGACAGATGCACACTCATTTTGATGTCATGGCCATCCTGCTCGGATCTTGCTCTTGTCTCAGAGCCACCACTGCAATTTGGCAAGCAGCTTTGTGTCATAGAAGGGAAAATTCTTCCGAGTCCTTACTGATTATAAGACAGGAACGGTTCCTAGTACCGCTAGCCATGAATTAAGACCATAGCTTGTATGTTGTCATTGGCTTTTCCAATTTCTAGTTTGTATTTATCAGGAATCTGAGATTTTGTGCTCTAGGAGAATATTCCCCTCATCTTTCCCTTGGAAGATATGTGTGGGGGAGAAGGGGAGCCCTAAGGTTTTTGTTTGTTGTCATGTTGTTTTGTGCTTTAGGGAGTTAAAAAAAAAAAAGAAGAAGAGGAAGTGATTCTCTGGGGAGGTCCAGGGCAGTGGTCTAGAGAAGATCAGGAAACTCTGAAGACCCAGAAAGTACACAGAAGCAAAGGGCAAGCTGGGAAAAATGTTAACCTTTGAGTTAAAATCTCTTGGGTACAGGAGTGCGGCCATGGCGAGTTTTGGAGAGGGAGCCTCTTTCTGGAGAAACCAAGCCTCCTGGTGGGTCCTGTTGATACATCGGAGCAGGCAGCCCTCAAGATTCGAGATTCAGGAAAGCACACACAAATGTTTCCAAAGATTGGGCCCTGCGGGGCATACTGCAGTGGCATGCTGCACTTGCTCTGTGACAATTTTCTTTCTTTTTTTTTTTTGAGTTGGAGTCTCACTCGGTCGCCCAGACTGGAGCGCAGTGGCAGCTCCCGGCCACCGCAGCCTGGACCTGCCAGGCTCGGGCGATCCTTCCGACGAGCCGGAATTACAGGCACGCGCTGCCACGCCCCGCTGATTTTTTGATTTATTGTAGAGATGAGGTCTCGCCAAGTTGCCTGGGCGGTCTCGAACTCTTAATGCTTTGCCCAGGTCTGCACAAAGGAAGGGCTCGCTCCCTCTTGGCTACCCTCCATCACCAGCTCATCACACGGCCATCTGCCTGTGAAGATGCGGAAGGCCCCTTGCAGACTGTGGTGCACCTCACAACTTCTTCCTTTTTTTTTTTTTGAGTTGGAGTCTCACTCCAACGCCCAGGCTGGAGGGCAGTGGCATGCTGCCGGCCACCGCAGCCTCGACCTGCTGGGCTCTGGCGATCCTTCCGCCTCAGCCTTCCAAGTAGCTGGAACTACAGGCACGGGTAACCGTGCCCAGCTCATCTTTTGACTGATTGTAGAGATGAGGCCTTGCCAAGTGGCCCAGGCTGATCTCCAACCCGCGGGCTCGGGCAATCCTCTCACCTTGGCTTCCCAAAGTGCTGGGATGACAGGCGTGAGCCACCACGCCGGGCCCTAACAGCTTTCTTGCGGCAGATGTTTCCTGAGTGCCTGGTGCTTGATGGGAGGCAGCAGGACATCTGCACGCAGGTGGCTTCTCACAGTGCCCCAGCAGGCCGTCTGATTTCATCACTTCACAGATGGGGCTTTGCCTCGGCTGTTGGACCCAGGCAGGCCAGGCCCTGCTCCGCGGAGCTTTGGTTCCAGCAGCAAAAAAGCCAGGGGGTGAGATGGCTTTGCGGGGAGACTGAGGCCGGGAGGTCCCGGGGCTGGGGCGGGCGCAGGGTCGGGGGGAGCGAGGCGGGATATGGGCCCTGGGATCCGCGGCGAGGAGCATCGCCTTCTGAGGCGCCTTCTGAGGCTTGGGCCGAGCACTGCAGCCCGGAGTCCCCGCGGGGCGCAGGCCCGCGCCCGGAAGGACGGACAGGGCGAGCCAGGCGAGGAGGGGAACGGGCACCCGCAAACGTCGTCGGAGGGGGCGGCCGAGTCCTGCGCGCAGAAAGCGCCTCGTGGGTCTGAAATGAGCGAGAGCAGTTAATAAAGTCCAACTGCTAGCAAAACAACAGTACGTACCAGCTTACTCCCTTCTGCTTAAAACTCTCATCTTAGTCGCCTGCCCGCCCTAAGAGGCACCCTCCGCGCCTGCGTGTCCGTGCTGTGACGTCCCCAGGACCACGACCCCCAGCTTTGCCCCCTTGGGGCGGGTCGCGCGGACCG